ACGAAGACAAACGAGTCGCCCTAAACTACCCGAAGACGCATTCTCGTACCATAAAGAACGTCCCAACTCTCTGGACCCGCAAAGAATTATCGGTCATAATAAAACTTGGCATGTAACGACTTTGATAACTGGATTTCTTTCCGTGAAACGCGTTACTTATCTAACCTTATCTTATCCGTACACTCGCCTCTGTGACGTTATCTTGATAAATTGTGTGCGGATACATAGCGCTGTAATTATAATAAAGAATGCATCGTCAATTCCGTAGCTCACGTAAAAAAGATTTTCGAGGTATTTCGCTTGAAGTCTGTTTTTTAAAAAAGCGTGTAAGCCTAACGAGAAACCTTTGACCGAGCACACATTCGTAAGGACCCAAGGCGCTGTGTTCCTACGCATCGTTAACGACGAGCAACGTTATTATAATCAATAATTCAAGACGTCATTAGCGAGGATTTCTGAATGGCATCGTTTACGCCCTAAAGACGCCGTCCTATCGGAGTCCGAACTTACAAAAGTGCCGTGAAAATTAATTAGTGCGCGTCTTGTTATTCCTTTCGAAGGATTCGTCAGGGCATTGCGCGGAGCGCAGGATTTGCACTGCAATTACAGGCAGGATAAACGAAGGACTCGATAACACTTGAAAAGTCTTACAAGTACCTGACTATGGACCCAGCATCGGATCACGTATTGTTTTCTTTACTGGTGATAGTATAGGTATTAAAAGAGAAAAGAAATTGAAGGATAAAAATATATGTAGAGAGTAAGTAAGAACTGAGAGAAATACTAGATCAACCCTTTTTAGGGGATGATAACAATTTGTCTAATCCACCTTCCGAAACTATGATCTTACCAAGACTCCGAGATACACCAAGAGCCCTCACACGCCCTATGCCTTCGTTCGCTCTCATCCCGATGCCTAGTCCACACCGGCATCGTCGGCACGAAAGGGGTTCATGACGAATCACTCTCTCGGCAAGCCTAGCACGGTCTATGAAGCGGAGTGTTCTCATCTTTCCTGCTAAGCTCTACTACACTGCGAGGGTGAGAAGTGGGTCACTATTTATGTCACCGGCAGAAACAAGAGACAGACCTTCTCTACTAGCACAGAGCTCCGTATTGCCTCCTGGGGTTTTTCTCGCTTGACTTCCTGGGGGCTAACTCCTTGGCTCGTGACCGGCTAGCTCAGCTTAGTTCAGCTTAGCTTAGCTTTCCTAGGTAGCTGCGCGTACTTCCCTGTGTGTCTCCTTACCTGGCTACTTATAGTCAGCCTAGATATACAAATATTAAGGGGACCTACGCACGAAGCATTGAGGTAGTCAGTGCTAGATACAGGCTGCGTATTACGCAACGCGCAACCAAGTTTAATTCCGTGCACCCTCAGACGTCTACCCTCGTAAACTACCGTTTGACGTTAACCATACCAAAAGGTCCGAACTAACGACCCTCCCAATAGTCGTCCATACGATCATTTCCGTGGAGAATAAGACGATCTTGTATTTTCCAAGAACCTGCAATTTGCCGCTTTTACAAGTCAACTTGCTCGATATAATTAATCTTGCTGGGGGTGTCATATTAAAAACTTAATTTTTTACCACGTAACAGCCTATGGCTGTTGTACGCTCTAGAGGATGGCTGCTCTCCCAGACTGCTCGTAACCGTTAACTTCGTACGACTAATATAAGACCCACCCTCTCTCGAGAAGAAAATATTTTAATTAAATTAATTAGAATGGCACTCTCATCGTTATTCCTTACCCGCTGAAACAACCACTCCGGCATATTATTATTTGGATTAAATAATTCTTAAGTCAGCTGAGATACCGGAAGTCGTGCCAAGACGTGATGATAACTGTAATTTTGTATAATTCGGGTAGGGAACATATCTATCCTTTCTTATTATTTGTTTCGATACGATTAGGCGTCATTGTACAGTGGGACGTATTATTAAATCATATACAAATCTTCTTGGCAACGTCGCTCTTGTTAACCTGACGGTATTCAGAGTCAAAAGTCCGTAGTTCCCAGAGTGTATGCGTCAGCATTGTAATGTAAGATGACATTACAATGCTGCGTCACCTTAACGAGATGTGTCCCTTGAAAAGTTGTTCTATCCAGAACTCCTGCTCGTCAACCTCGTGTCGTCCAAGGGGTCGCGATTTAATGAACTATAAGGCATAAATGATGGCGACGCCTGTTTATTATGTTCCGACAGTGCAATGTCAAGGAGATATAAAATTTAATTAAAGGGATCAGTTTTGACAGGATCCAGAGGTATATACCGGTAGTCCCTCTTCCTAGACGACGCACCTACCCTTATGAGTAAAAGGATTTATTTTCACACCCTAACTCACCTTATCCTGGCTTCCTTCCTTCCATTACCTTACTATACACTGACATAGCGGATGACGAGGATGTAAAACTCAGTTCAAAATTGGGTAAGCTCCTACGCAAAGTGCCTGGTCTGCCCGGAAGAAGAATAATCGATCGTTATCGAGGTATTCTCGTAAGTAGCATGACCCTTTATAGCGGTCTGCTGGGAATGCGAGCTATTCGGAGGGTTCGAGTGATTCCATTCACGACGTCGTCCTCCCAATATATTAAATTTGCATTTTCTGCGTAATTGAGATTTCAGGTAATATATTTTCACGCATAGTTGATTAAATTCCATTTTATGGGCTGTGGTTTTCCTGAGCGGGTATTACGAGAAATTATTGCTTTCCGCGGGAGATAAAACAGCATCCCATTTCTCCATTTTACACAAAGTGTCTCATATTTCAAAAATTCTCTATACTTTTAGCTTACTGCAACGCGTAGTTATTGATTTATTTTTTTTTTCTCATAGTTGATACATTTTTACAATATCCTTTGTAGTCTTGGTTACTCATATTGAGATGATTGATTTTTTCATTAGAAATCATTCGTATAGATACTGATATGATTTTTACATTATATTACGTCATATGTGATTGCACGGTATAAACGGCCTCGATGATATGACGTTTTATTGGATTCTTGAGCGAAAGAAGCGAAAATCACACTTTCAATAGAAACTCAGTCGCGCGAAGACGACCCACGCCGCCTGAGAAACGAGTAGGCGACCCATTGGCCATGAAATACCTAAAATGTCATCTTCTTATATAATCCAAGGACAATTCGCTTTTATATATTTTTCGGCACGGTTCAGTGCAACGGAGTTCGATGTTTATTCTTGACGAAAACAATTAATTTCTATATGAATTGTATTTGATGCAGGATATTGTTATTAATTTTCATGATTAGCGTACGACTATGGTAATTAATTCTTATAGAGGCTATTGTAGTTGGCCTGTGTAATTAATAACACGATTAACCATACTGCAATAGAATATGATCCGACTATTTACCAGTCCAATTCAACATTCAATTGAATAACCTCTTAATTTCAATCATGGTCCATAGTAAATATCCATTATGAAATTTCAAAGCCTTATTAAAATGACATAATCTGTTTACATAACAGTTGTACGTCATAAGTAAAATTTCATAATCCAGTGGCAAAATACAAAAAATTTAGAATGTGCTAGCAAAGATGCACGCTTGCAGTTTGCGGTGAAACGATGTACGATTTTGAAAAACTGATATGACAATCATTGAATATTTTTTTATTGCGCATTGTTGACACATATCATTATTCTTCCTATAATTTTCATTCGCATGTAAAAGAACATTATCTTCGCTATTTCAATTAATATCGAAAAAAGTTAAATGCAAAAGTCAGAAATCAAGGAAAAAAGAATAGACGTGAAAAACATACATTCATAATTAGTAACGAAATTGCTCCTCGCGAAAATACATGTCTCGAATTCTCAATTTCGATAATTCAAGGCATGGATTGCCATGGAAAGCGTTTCTGTTAGTTCCGAAAGAAACCACCAGGTGGCGCCGTGAAGCGCCAACGATAGTTGCGGAAAATTCCTATAGAGGCCGCTGAACGAGAATCAGGTGACTATCTCCTAAAAATGCATTTTCGTGGAAAGCATTTTAAATAACTCCGAAAAATTCCACCAGATTTCATTGTTAAGCACCTGCGATAGTTCCGGACAATTCTGCTAGGACCAGAAAGCATAAGGCTGCTATCTGTATCAACTTTTTTTCATCTCTATTATGTTTTCTCGATCTATGACTTTTGCATTTAACTTTTTCCAATATCATTTGAAATGGCAAATATATTTTTTTTAATCACGAACGAAAATTAATCGATCAATAATAATACGCGCAATCGATGAGCAATAGAAAAATAATGGATGGTTGTCCCGTGAAAATTTGAAAATCGTGCACGCAAACCGCAAACGTGAATCTTAACTCATACACTCTATACGTAGCATACATCGGTTCCTTTATACGATAACATATATATAAACGCGAAACAAAAATCTGTCGATATTATGAAACAAAGAAAATACACAAAAAGTCTGTGTAACCTGCCTTGTATCGCCAGGAAAGGACAGACAACCGTTAGGCGGAGAGCCCAACAGAATTGCATTAGGTGCATTAAAGCGTCCAAGCGAGAGGACGCTGGGAGTGGGACCCAATTATTTGCTAACTGGGAAAGATTCGATATTCTCCGAGTAAAGTCGAGTGCCTGGAGAATCTCGGGCGTTTTTGCAGAAAATGTGCTTACGAAAATGTTTCTTTGGAATAACACAATTAGCGTGGAAAGACCGAACGTAGAATAGAAAACACAGAGGAGTATCACCTTTATAACATTAAAGCGTCTGTATTCAAGACATTACACAAATTCTAGGTCAGTTTCCACAAGGAGGAAACGATTTTACGTCCTTTCATTTACAGCATCTTCTAAACTATAACAATACACTCAATCACCTCGAAACAGAGATACCGGTGCATCCATAATGAACTACAATGTTTCTTCCTGTATTAAAAAAGAATTTCTTTGCGCCAAAAAAAAAAAAGCAATAAAAGTTCAAATGGATTCAAGTTATCAAAAGTATAAGGTATCACCTGGCAATTCCTTGGTTCAACGTTACACCAGGAGTATTTCAAATGACGAAACCCTACCAAGTCGTTTCATAAGGAAGAGACTCCAGGACTTTTCTCAAGTAAAAGAATCCACTCCATACAAGTTAGTTGTACAAGCGGAAGAGTTTTCGGTGCCTCCTAGAAACCAGAGTCCACTTAAAGTTGAACAGTACCGCGTGCACTGGAGCGTATCTCTTCGAAGAACACGAAACACCTTCGTTAGCGGTGTAGCTACTACCCACCCCCGACATAAGAACAGTGGCGGCAAGGTGAAACGAAAGGGGTGAGTTTAGTGCAACCCTTTGCAGAGAAGCTCACGTGGCAGCGTGATAGCTCCACGTGAACATTACGTCGCGTTGGCCTGACGTGTCCCACTGTAATTACTGTAACCCTACACGTTTCCAGTATTAACAAAGCAGTCTGAAAATAGCGTATCACGTAATCGTAAATATCCAATATATTTATATGAGCTTGATTAAATAAGATATCATAAGAGACACTTTTCTTAGGCCGTCCTTACGTCATTCGGGTAGACTGTGCTTCCTTCTTTCTTTTTTTTTTCTTTTTCTTTTTTTTTTTTGACGTTTTCCCTGTAAATACTCACTGTAGCGTTTACTTTATCGCCTGGACGGTAATACCTTAGCGATGGAACCTGGGGGATAAAACAGAGCCCTTACAGACGCGAGGAAGCGTCCAGCCGTCAATCCAACCGACGTTAACGGACGTTCGACAACGCGTTACACTTTCCGCACGACGAGGCTGATCCACATGGGAGTCGCAGAGTGTTTTTTTCTTAGAAAATTCAGTTCCGAGATGCTGTACTGTCTCACTTCTTATATCCGATGTTTCCATTGCTACGTTTCTTCCAGTAAGCGTAACTGCACTTAGAAGGCTGTAAAGAGAATATATAAATATTTTATATATAATATATACATATATATATATATATACAAAGTTATTCAGGACTATTGCACCACCTGAACAGTATAGTCCTGAATAGCTATGTTTAACTGGTCGATATCATGTATATTTATATATATCCTGGAAATTTCCTATTGACGGCACTAAGTCAAAATTATTAAATCTGCATAAGTCACCTGAACCATCTGTCGCTCAATATACACTATAATATTATATTTACTGTTTATTGCCGCGGACAATAAAGTATCAAGTTTTGCTGGGACTTTTCGAATTACATTAGGCAATATATACACGTGGTTTTATGAAAAGGGTTGGAATTTTTCCCGGCCGAAATTCACAGTGAAAGCCGGGACATTGTCCGCAGTGTGAAATTGCCCTGGCCGTGGAGGGGAAACTTCGTTAGCGAAGGTAATCGCGAGGGATACCGAGTACGAGGTAGCAGGGAGCCGGGTGGCAAATGTGAAAGGATTCGTGGTCCAATAGCAACGTCCAACTTTTCCACGAGTTCAATTAATCGGAAACAAAGACAATTCAAAGCGACGCTTCGGCCACCCTCTTTATTTCATTGGGTGCGAGACGACCTGGGACGTTCTCCCACGTCCACCCTTGCGGTTTTAAAACAACCCTGCCTGAACCCACTGAGCATCCTACGACACACTCCCAGCCGTGGTTTCCACGCCGTCGAGTCAATCGAGATTCTCCACTAGGTCCTTTATACCCCTTGCGGTTGTGCCTTTAATTCGAAAAATTCTTAAAATTACAAAGTAATTAGTTTTTTTTTTTTTTCATTAGCGTACAGTTGCCATCGTCAAAGTTCATAAAAGTTAAAACTTTTTATATACACATTTGAATAGCATTGGATGAGTCATTGGTATTTATCTTTTCCTATCTCGATTACATGCAATTAAAAGATTAAGCCTCGAATGCTCTTTGTTGACTGTCATTTGAAAAGAGACGGCCCTGGAACATTTCGGTGAAAGCTAATAGAATTAAATCAACACACGATTTTCAATTTAACGACGAATGATGCAGGGGATTCTATGGGACAGTGATGGTCGCATTAATTTTAATGCGAGTACATGCGTCATTACATTAAACGCTCGAACAGTCTCGCATATAGTAGCAAATAAATTAGTCGTAATCAACGTTTCGCAATGTGTATTGTCCTTCAACTGCTTCCCTTATTACATATGGCTCATTGTGATTGATGACTCTTTTAAAATGACAGAACCATACGATCGAATACGTGGTAGGGAATTTTGACATGCAGCTACGTCCTAAAATTTCTTACACATCGAGCATTAACCTTCTAAGGCATAATTGCGTGCAGAGCTTCTCTGCAGACCCTGTGAGTCGAAACGAATGCAGAAGCGAGAACGGCGGGAGAGCGACTGAAACAGTGAACGTTTGACGTAACAACGAAAATATCCCTTCCCTACCATAGTCGCTTGTATCGTTATTATCATAGCCTCTTCCGAGAAATGAGAAAAAAAAATCTCGACAGATATCACGACAAAGACAAAAGAATTTTCAATATCAAAAAATTTCTTTCAAACCTCACACACGAGCGCTCTAACTCTTCGTGACGCCTGTCCTCTTCGGGTTTCATCTTATCCTACGACACTAATTCACTTTTCCCAAGAATTCAGAAAGAAAATTTCCCTCGTAAGTCAATGCATATTTACGACGCTAACCGTGACCTAAGACCGTCTAGATAAACGTGACACTTCGTATCGTGAAACAGCAGTTTGCCCCATTGAAGTAAAGTGACTGCATTGCACGTGAAACGTATTTCTGTCGGTATATTCAATAAATAGGGTACACGCAAAACCGATAGGAAGTTTCATAGAAACGAATTCCCGTTTATCCAAATACGAGGGATATATTTCCCAACCCTCATGTGCTACGGCACTCCACGTGTCTTCCACCGCGTATGAATATGTACAATAAGTAACGCGAAACAATCGAAGCAGCATCCGCAATTTCCATGAAACGAATATTCGCTCACGCGACAAAAGGAATGTCAATGCTCGACGAGCAGTACGAATAGAAATTCCATTCGGAATAGAAATTTCTCTCTACAATCAATTAACTCCGTTTCCATTGTACCTTCCGTCGAAATCCCTCCTTGGACGGAATTACGCGACTCGCTGGCAGTATCCTGCTCGTAGATCCCCTAGCATAATCTATATGCTCGACTAAGAGAGACTATATATTATCCGCGAGCAGTGGGATGGGCGAACCGCGGACATTTCTATGTCGAGGGTCGTTTAGTAGTCTGCTGAACTACACGGAAAGGGAACCTCGGTATATCTATTTTACTGTGGTAACGTTCAACAAATTGATATCCTACGGGGTTGTAACTCTGCGCCCTTTCAAAGAGACGAATTTACCCTTTGGCTATTTACATCTCAAAGATTTCATGCTAAAGCTTAATTGACGTGTTTTAATTAAATATACTGATATATCGTGGGGGCGTTACGTAATAATTTACTGATTTACCAAGGCACTTTGATTTATTGTTTAATGATACAATGCCGTATCTTGGCTCAGTTATAAGGTGTCTGTAGGAACGTTGAAAGTTTACGCGCGTTCTACCAAAGTTCCCGTGTTACGCGAGACTAGTTTGCCACTGGTTGTGAAGATCATTTTGATATTAGGCCTCTATCGGGTAACTTGACAAGACGAGGAAAATTCGTTGCTGGGGTATCGAAAATAATGGAAATGCTAGCGAAATGAGATGACGGAATAAGGATGAAAAGATAATATAATAATGACGTATATATATTTTTTTTTATAAATTATTATATTAATTTTGAATATTAGTTGCACTATACGAATTCACTTGATATACAAAAATAGGTGTTTAAAAATTTTCTTTTTAAGTACACTTTATACTTTCTAGACTTTGTTGGCTAAACTGAGGATAATTGAATTCATTTACGCTCCACCGCCATGGTATGATAATAAGTGTAATAATAATTCATAATAATTAAGTGACCACAAGGATAGATGTGGCGACCACAGGAGTGATGACGATGGTCAAGATAATATAGAGAGCATTAACTAGAAGAGGAAGAGGGATAAGAGAAGGGTGAATGAAGGAAGCGTGGAATCCTAATAGGAGAGAGCAGAAAAGAAGACTGTCCACCCTGCTCATAAAATTGAGAAACTGACGTTATATATCATCCCACAATATTATCAATTTTATCGGTTATAAGAATTTATTCTGTTCATATTAAATTTGAGTGAGCGTACAGTACAGAGTGAATTAACAGTATTAACGGAGGTATGGGAAATGAAGCTTTTAAATAATTTATCATTTGATATACAACGTACAATGTTACACTTGCCTGTTGCTCAAATGGAACGTGGATGGACGAAACAGCTCCATTCGTAGAGGAGTGGTTCGAGAACATGGCTATTAAAATATTTTATGATCTCAATCCCACTTCGAAAGCACAATGTCGTTTATGGCCGGGGACATTTATTGAACGTAAATTTCCGCACGGTCGCATTATTCCAGCCATACGTTCAAACCGTCGAACTGGTCGCGTGAATCATGCCCGGCTAATTTTATTCTCAATTACGAGAACGAATTCCTGCCCGTAAATCCAGCAATATCGCAAATACAAATTCCACTTGATACAAGTATTAGATGGTCGCGAAACTTTTACTATCGCGATAATCCCAATTGAAATGAATAAATCTCTTAGGAGGGATGATGAAATTCATCAAGAGCTGTTGAGTCTTCAACAGCAGCTTCTAGACGTACAGCTGGGATTATTGGATGAGTAACAAGGGTAGTAGGTGGATCCTTCGCAGGTATATCGGATGCAGAAACGTACGCAGGATAGGGGTGGCTTCTGCTTTGGTGCTGGAGGACAGGAGGGTGGCTTATTACCTGGAGGTTCTGGACAGGGTCGAGCTACACAGATTGTTGGCGGCGGTGGTGCGTCTTCAGGCCGTGATCTGCAAGTCTGGTCGAATTGATTAATTCCCAATCATTCCGATGGAATCGAATATGCGACGAATCAGTTATGCAGTCGCATAATGCATATAGACGAATAGCCAATTACGTACTAGAGGTAAGCATGGAGGAGAACAATGTGGAATTGGAGGATAGGGTTCTGGCGGAGGACAGCCATATTCGGGACAACAAAACGGTAGTGGTCTACAGTGATAACATGGAGGTGGTAGAGTACTTGATCTTCTGTTTTCCAGTTGTGCACAGCTCGAGTTACATGACATTTTTGTATTTTGTATTTTTGCAAGGTTTTTATGAAAATAAAAAAATTTTTCAGTTATACGTCACATAACCTACGAAAATTTTGCGACGCATTGCATGCGAATGGTATTCTGTTTTATAAATTCGCGATTCGCTTTTATTAACGATGAGCCGTATTGTTTTGTCATTACCTATATGAATTAGGTGCTATTTTTGTTGATATATCGCGTGGACAAAATAGCCCATGGTTCGGAATGATACTTTTACACGTATTTTTCTGACTTGAGTCAAACGGAAAGTCGATAACCATTTTAAGGAAACTCGTTTAAAGTTACCTTAAGTCGAGTATAGGCGGCGACTACGAACTCTCTTGCGGCGGGGACTACAACGGCTGTGGAACGTCTGGACCGAGTCAATCGATTTTGTTTTTCGCACGAAGAAAACGAGGAATTCTTATCGAAAAGGTTAACGCTCTTATCGGGAATTTCATTTATTCGTGCGAAGCCTGGCCGTTAGCGTTTACACGAGTTACGGGACGTAAAGAGGTGACCGGGTCGATCGGCCTGACACTTCCGGTACTGAGGATCGAAGAATTTTAGCCAACTGGTTTTCCGCAACAGTCGATCCATTTTAGGCAGCAACAAATGGATTGCTTGGGCGGCAGGGTTCGGGGTGGGCAGGATGGCACGTAGGGCCAGTAACAAGGCGAGTAGGTTGACCTGTCGCGAATAAATCACAAGTCAGTTGAAAGAGGTATTCATCGAAAGCGACTGGCGTTTACTGGGAGCATCAAAGTAGAAGTAAAAGGAGAAGCTGGAAACTGATGGAAATTTGTCCTTTTACTTACAGTGCATATTTCTCACTTTACGAGAATATCGCATTGAATAAAGGCCAAGCTATTCTTTACCTATTGCACGTGTACGTGAGCTGGAATCGAACAGCAGACTGTCCAGGAGGCGTCGTTCCAGTTGGACATTTTGGACAAGGTATATCGTTGCACGGTGGCTTCCGAGAACAGCGAGACGGTATTCCTGGTGGATATCTGGCGTAAATTTCGGCGAGATCGGTCATCCCGGTTATTTTAAATATATTCCTATCTTGAGAATTTTTTCGCGTCTCTGTCACTGTGAGTCAATTATAATAAGAATGTCCTGTATGCCAAAGGATCAAATTGCTGACAGGAAATTTTCGAATACTGAAATTTTTGGTTAGTTGAACGTTCATTTTTTTAATCTGAGATTGAGTTGACGAATATATTTGAAACGCGTGACAACTGTCTACATGATATTCTTTTCGTTTTCAGTAATTGCGCGAGACACGCGTTTCTCGTACACTGTCATACATACCGAGGACAAAAGCTGTGCGGACGACAGTCTTGAAAAACTGCCCTGCGCTTGTCGAAAGGTCGGTAGGAAGAAACATCATTTTCGTAATCACAACAGATATTATAATAAACCGTATCTTTACAGAGGCTTATACATTGTAAAATGAACAAGAAGACTTTACGAAATGTACACGCTTTAAATCATAAAATGATTAAGGAATCGATCGGTGACATTATTTACAACACAACTGCGAAAGCACTGCACGTCGAATTCCAGTTGGCAGCCATTAGCAAAAAGCATGTAACATTTTACTTCGACGTGCTTGAACTTCATCATAAATCCTATCTCAGCACCTTCTAACGGATTCAATAAATTCCCACGTTATTTCACTTCCAAGTGTCCCAAGGTTCTGGCAAAAGTTGCATCCGTGCCAGTATCGATCAATCGATTGGCAAATTTATCGAATTTTTACAAGGTGCTGCGACTCACTCTCGTCTCAACTGGTATCTGCTTCGATTCCTACGAACTTAATTATTTCTTGAATAAAGGAAACAGAAAATAAAAAAACAAGTACAAGGATACAATTATTCTCATGGAAATGCACCATTGTGTGCAAAGTTTAACAGACACCAGCTTTGACAATAATTCCTGTACCTTCACCATCAATTCAAATCGAAGAAGAACCGAGTTTTAAGTAGCTTAATACCGTTGATAAACGCTAATTACATTAACCTGGCGTCGCGAGGAATACAGTTACGTTGCGATATATACATGTTCCCCGTCCACTTAACAAAGATAAGACGCGATAAACCTAAACGTACACATTTCCTCTGGAAAATAAACATTCTCTCCACCATAATCTTTCCCTCCAACTAGCAAGCTACATTTTATACTTAAGTACATCAATTATCAATGTTTCAGTAAGTACCACTGCGTAAGTACCTGGGCATTCGTTTGTGCCGACTGTCCCATATAAATTCTTTATTACTCCATCTCGTCTTATTCTCCGTTCCTTCATTCATTTCAATGTCATTATTTCTTTATTCACAAGAAAACAAGGACTGACCAACCTGACTCGTTTCTAGTTTCACCTGTTCAGTTTCTCAATGAACGACAATCTTAATAGGTATCTCGTTCAACAAGATCCCCGACGCTTGAAGACGCTCCTTCATTCCGATTTCGTCACTTACGTTCCGACACCGGAAGAGGACACCATGTTAAACACCATTAAAGACCTTTGTGTACGATGGGGTGTGAAGTGCTTGAAACGGAGGTGTGCATCTCTCAAAATTTCGATCGCAAGTGCGCCAGGATAACACGTACAAGGAAATGAGAGAGGAAAATAAGCTGTGACATGACACGAACCAAAGAGAAAAGAAAAAAAGAACGCCATAAGAAGAAAGTTAGTGCGCGAAACACTAGAAAATTATTGGATTAAAAAGAAACATTTTTTTCGGAAGCCCTGCCTTGAGAAGGAAAGATCCAGGGTTCTATGTTGGCTTCATGGACGCTAAACAAAACCAGGTCCGTTAGTGAGAGAATCGAAAAATAAGGAATACTATTAGGAATGTTAATACTACGTTCATTGCGTGCTCAGTAACGTAACGAATTGCTGCGTCGATTTCGACTTGATATTTCATTCATTACGGGCCATCTAGCCAAGCCCGTTAATAAAGATCGTTTCATCTTTGTTCATTTAATTAATCGGGTTCTCGCTGGCTCGGTGTGTGTTTTTTATTAATATCTACTCTCATGATATATTAAATAACTATTCTATTTACAATGTATTATTAACATCGCGAATGGACCGACGATCGAACTTTGTTCGTGTAGTAACGATTTTATGAATTCTATTATTCGGGCTTGTTCAATATCACCTCGATTCTTTACTTTCTCTCCATTTTCTCATTTTCCTCAATCCTTTTGCACAATTTTTTCATTAACAAATCTGTTACTTTTTTTTATCACGATCCTCATGTAGGTCCAAGAGGGATGCCGATGTCAACGAACCGAGGCAAAAAGCTGCGAGACTCGATACTATTTTGTCATTAACTATTATTTTTAAATAGGATCGGAGTAAGCTCTCTCGCTCTCTTATTTTCTCTTCCTTTTCTTAAACTCATCTTCTCTTTCAGTCTACCCTTTCTCCCATTCATCTCATCTTCCTCGTAACGATTACAATAAGGTTTACAATACTCTGATTAACCGCATCGTGCGTGTTTTCACGTTTGTTTCTTTTTGTTTCAATCTAATTTTATAATACACGAACGAAACAACTATGAAGGCATTTCTCACTCGAATAACAGCCAGTAGGGAAAAATGAATAACGAAGAACCAGTCAACGTCTTTATCGTTATTTGAGTGAAAATGACCATATACATAAAATTTACTGAATAACTTTCTCTCTTCAATCCTGCAATCTTCAACGCACATGGCATGTACTACACTAAATGCATTTTCGACCGTATTTATGATAGACATCGATATTATAGGACGTACTTCTTTCTAAGTTCAACATTTATTCGGTAATTAAGTAGCTATGTGTATTCTGCTTTTATGTCTGACCGTGTATTCTTCCACCTACATTAACTTAGCTCTCGGATTCATTTTATCCTTTTGCCTGTCTGTCTGCATGACTGTCTGATGACTCAGACCCACAATACATTCCCGAACGCCACGCTTGACGACCTTGAGCAATATTATTCTAGTCCAGCAAAGGGTTTCAGACTACCCCTGCTTTAAGTACTGGCCTCTTTCAGCGTATCACAGTCCTCGGATGTTATGCCTGCATAAAACTCGATTCTCACACTCATCCCAATTACATTTCTGCAGAAACATTCCACGACGACATTAATATACCGCATTTGGTCACTCGGCCGTATCCGCTCCATGGAAGGATCCATTCTCTTCATTTGTCCAGTCTACAATTTTTATGTACGATTACAAGAATTTATTCGTACGTCGATCACTACGTGACACTAATCGTTTTTATGTAAAATTGGTGCAAATTTTTTTACGAGTCTCTGTGCAGTATAATCATCGTGCCTATAGTATTGTGTATCATGCAGAAACGACAATAATCGCTCGAGAAAGCCTAGACTACCAAAGGAATCCTTAGATTCCTTTTACTTTTGTTCCTTTATTCCGTGGTAACGTTAACGTATAATAAATATTATCGATACCACTGATGGCAATACGTTAGCACAACAATCCTTCAAATAAATTCTTCTTTTACCCGTTATCTACGTAACCTACGGGCGGAAATTCATCACTAGATCAATATACTCAAGTTCAAGGATTCTTCCATTAACGTAATCTTTTCATTATGGAATATTGCCCGTTTTTGAAGGCTTCTTTTCTGTGCGTACAATAACAGTTAGATTACCGCATGAATAAACTCCTAACGATCCACGTCAGCATCGTCGCGTTACTCGCTTGCGAATCGCTACTTCGAGAAACTATCGTTTCCCGAGGGATCCCATCGAGGTATTGACATTGTCAGGAGTATCATGATGATGGCATTCTTACGGGAAGTACCTTCGATCAGCCGAGGACTCGGAACGCAATCGGACGAGCAATCGTCACCATTATGTGTTCGTTCGATAGAACTTGGCGATGCTGTTCGTGAACTCCTGCCGCTACAATTGCACCTGAAAAGCCTGCGTGGCGTTGGGCATTATAAATGGATTCGTCGTTGCCGTCGATTGATGTAGATTCCTCGCAGCTATTTCAGCCCATTCGGCATCGAAAGGATCCGAAGGTCCAGGTCTACCACTTTGAGTTAGTGCAGCTGATCCTAATGAATGGGCTCTAGCGTGAAGTGGTGGAGCACGTCGCGGAATATGTGGAACTGGTGGTATAGCAGGTGGTACAGACCCAGTAACGCTACCTAACCACTGTTCGGGTTTTGGTAAACTGGGTGCTGTCGATACTGATTGCACCTATCATAAACAAAGGATCATTAATGAACAGTGCAGTTAAAGAAGCATAAAATGTTCAAGCGATTCTATTATTAAGCTTACCGAACCACTAGTTTGAACAGTGCTGCCAATCTGTGCTTGAGCTTCTTCAGCCGTTACTGGAGGAATTGGCGATGATGAAGTTACGCTGACATTTGCGGAACTGGGTACGGGGGTGACGGAATTGACTGGAATCGGCGAACGATTTATGGCAGGAGTTGATGCACTACCCAAGGACGAAGTGGAAGCTGAACTAAATGCAGGACTTGCATTTGGTGGCGTACCAAATACTCCTACAGTACTAACTGACGCAGGGGTGCTCATTACTACAGTTGCTGCGTTTGTTCTTGGAAGCACTGGGCTCAGATTGCAACTTCTGTTAAGAATTGGAGTGAGTCTGTGATTCGCCGTAAGAACGGGGGTCTGTGAATCTTGCCAGCTGGGTCCTACATTGTTTGTATTATTTGCATCATTATTGTTGTTGTTATTATTGTTGTTACAACTATTCACGTTCAACCCGTTCTGCAGTTTTGTATCATTCAAGGAAGCACTGCTACTTACTGAAACAAGCATAATACAATTTTACAGGATTACAGTAACACAGTTTTATTCAATAAAAACTAAATTCATCAAATGACAACGTTGAGTCAAATCATACAATACTCTAATTTCGTACCTGCTGGATCGGTCGAAGTGAAAAGTTGTTTAGCAACGAGACTCGACGTTCCCTGTGAAATTGTTGTCCCAAAATCATTGTTGGTAGGTAATAGAGAAACACCACGAGATAGGTGCTGTTGAAGTGAAGTACGTTGCGCAACGGTTGGTCCAAAATCATCACTACTTGACAGGAGAGAAAGTCCACGAGAGAGCTGCTGACACATTGCGGACACGCTGTCCTGACAGCCAGGAGATATTTCTGGTATTGGACTCACTGGAAATAACGAATCCCATAAGTATCATTCACTGAATTGATTGCGCACCATAAACAACGTGCGCGTCGCAACAAGAAACAATTATAGTAACTACAGTAACAACATGCTTGAATTCTCGGATGCGTGATATTAATGAGTTATTGGATTGATAATTCGATTTCGAGAGGATTGTGTAAAATATTAAATAGTACGAAATATCCAATGTACAATTTCTTTTAGTTTATCGCCCAAAACCGAGTAACAAGGAAAATTCTACCGAGGTGTCAAATATATTCATGTAAGGAACTACCAACTTGACGAGTAACTATTCAGATGAACCGCTTTGGTATAATCACGATCGATATAAAGATTATTAGAATAAAAGTAAAACATAGGAAACACTAGCAAGCAATATCAATCATGAGCATAACGAGTAATGACCTTCGTCATATCCTTCAAATTCTGTTTGCAAAAAGAAATGAGAACAAGAGTACATGATTATTGCATGACCTTAGAGTATCTGCGTTATACAATTTTATATTTAGATCAGAGTCTTCAAAATCAAACCCTGTTCAGCACAGCCCAGAGGTTCATGGACACAAGATAACTCAAAGGCTTCTCACCTGGAGGTTTCTGGGGTACGTTGTGCGACATACTGGGTGGCATTCTTGAAAGATCCGTTGGTTCAAGGCTGTGACTACGCGTGCGTTCAAGATTACTGGGTAAGTCATTTACGCGTAGACTATGTTGCCGCTTGAATGGAGAAGCCTGGCTCAGTTGATTAAAGCCTCGGAAGGAACCCTGCCTTTCGAGCATCGAAGGGGTAGCGTGTGGCCTCTCAATGGCGAAAGGGTTATACACTTGTTTTACTGGTGGCACATCTATAATAAAAAATTAATGAAATTCGAGATGGATGATAGGGCAATTGAGACGGTTCCCTTAAAGACACATTAATGCTAAGGCATTACAGCTATTAAGATACTGACCTACGGCACGTTCACGCGTGTCTTGCAACCGTTCAGTAAGACTTGGTTGTCTGAAGCTACCACTTCTAGTAAAGGTCGAGGTCTTCGAGTCAAATGTCATTGTAACTCCGCATTCCTTATCCCTACGCTGCTTCCTTTCGAGACATGCAGCAAAAGCACAGCCTACTGCGTGGCTCAGTCGCTCACCCTGTGAAAAGGAGAATCGATCATTGCTCGATAGATATCACAAACTACTTTTATTAACTTGTTCTGTGGTTCATTTAAGGGTAAGTCACTACCCTCCTACCTTATCGACGTTTTCCTGAGAGAAGGCCACTGGGTTGGAACTTACCGACTCTTTCAGTGCCAGAAATCCATGGCACATCCATCTCCTCGTGGTGCCATCTCTGCATATATAACTGAATCCCTTCTCATGATTTCGGTCAGGGGCGCAAAACGACACCTTCTCAATCGTTTGATCCACTATCAACCCCTTTGTCTCATCTTCCACGACACGTAACCCGTCACCGGAAACATGGAGGATTGCACGTACGGGTCTTCGTCTGGAGTTCTGAAACGTTAATGATCGATAACACTGATTGATCTTTAACTGCCTTTGATTGATATTTTTAAATTTAACAATGGCAGGATGGAATATATAACTTTTAGAGCAGTTCAACGCTCGTTTAACGTGCATCACTTAGGATGCAATACTTTTTAATCGTAAAGTGTATCTAAAATTGAAACGTCGCCAGGATCGTTTCTTTTGCAGTGACACTCGCTTCTGTCTATGTGGGAGATGAGCGAGAAGGTCTAAATATAAACTTTAATATGCAAAAAGTATCCCGGTACCATGAGATATTTAAGACAAGGATCACATTCTCCATATATAAATGATTCTTGTTTCATTTCGATATTCGATGAATCATGGAAGCATGAAACGTTCCTTTTCTATTTCAACAGTTTCAACAGTCTCGCCGAGGTAACTGAATATCAATTTAGAATATCATTCTGTATTGGTAAAATACTCAGAGTTTAACGTCAGCCAATTTACCTGACACATACAAAAAAAAAAAAAAGCCAAAAAACCTACAAAATTATATTCCATGTAACTCGATATGCTATGTGACTGAATTTTTCTCACGGTACATCACAATAAACACCTCTATCGGCTGGTCGAACAAACAAACTATTAAGAGATCCGAAGATACCACAGAACTCACCCTTAATACTTTTAAGGCTTCCTCGCAGACCTGCATGCCCCTTGATTCAAAGACCTCGACACATCCCAGGTACTGTAATTAATAATATAATTCAATAGAATTTCTTCCAACGAAGTACGTACAATTGAACAACAAATTACAGATATATTAATAAAATTACCTTTACATGGAAGGCACAGGTCGCAGAACGCACAGCGCTCTCATCGGCCTGCCACTGATGAGGCTTACTAGACTCTGGCACGTGGGGATCTTTTCGTCGACGAAAACTGTCCCGGAAGCTCCTTCGGAGTCTGTCCATCCTCTTTCCGGGCGATCTCTCCCGTTTCTGCAAAAGCAAAAAAAAAACGAAGAAAATGAGTGAGGTATACCAAACTTCATAAAGTAACATGACACGAGAGCTACTTCCTCCACGATACAAGGGACGAACGATCGATTCACGGGAGGAGAAAAGATATTTTAAAAATAATGCTGATCCCACAATCGCAAAACTCTTCCCACGTGATAACCCATGCACGCTTCCCATATGTCGATCTACTACTGTCTCTGACAGGCGAGTTCTTTACGCGTAAACATTACGGCACGCATGTATACCACGCGTAGCCAACCTAATGGCGTACGTACACCCCCTCGAAGGGTGATGGAATATTAATAGGTCATGCACGTGTGGATTTACGAAGGTGGTGGGATCAAACGTAATATTTCGTCTACCGAATTGGAACTGAAGGTCATGAGATTCGTGCTGCGATCAATCTTTAACGGATCTCTGGCGATTATTTGCCTTTTAATATTAAAAAACTCCCACTGTATGTATGCGCTATAAAAATATATTACATTCAAGTGTCAATCGCTGTCAAAATCAGCCGGGGTAACATCTATAGAGTCATTCACCACAAATCCACCACATGAATATGGCTCTACCATAGAGAGCAAATGGAAAAACTAACTTCAGGCGGTAGGCATGACGCGACTACCTCTGTACACGTAGTATACTTTACAGATCGTATCATTACGTATACCGTCGTCTTGAAATACATCATGAAAAAACATGTCATCGGTATAATCTACAAGATATACTACAATGCGTAATAATTGAAACTTAAAAAAAAAAAAAAGAGAACTGTCCAACGTTCAGTTTGGCAAGAACCGTTTCAAGGTTACCACGGCTTTGAGCCTGTGATCGAATCTTCAAGCTGGTTCCCAAGGATTCTTTTATATCAGAACCCTCCGGTCCTCCCCTAGTTCCGCGGCACGAATCTACCCCTGAATTGGCACCCCTGGCGCAACCGCCAAATCAAGAGCCCACAGCGTCTCGGGTCGATCGCATATTCCCCTGCTCTAAAGAGTGAGACGGGATTAGAAAAGAAGGCAATATCGCAAAAGGAAGTCGGGTCACTATCACGGCTCAGGAACTAGAAACATGAGTGCATTCTAAATCATCTAATATTACGTACTAATAGGGTGCACGAAGTACCCCACGCAATTACGTTACATGCGTAACGAATACGAGGACGGCATTATACACGCACCATAGACTCAATATATACATCGTACAATGAAACGTGAATTATACAGATATCATCAGGTATTGTTTAGTCATCCATTCTTGGTAAGAGAAATCGCATTGTAGTTGCACAGGAGTTGAAGAACAAAATGAAGCATCAGATCTCACGTTAGATCACGATTGACATTTAACGTTATACGACAGAAAGCATAGATAACATTTAAATTTCTTTTTGCACCATAGAAAATCACTTTGATCACTCTGTTGACTCGTGAATGGTAAACGTGTATGTCAATCTCGTACAGAAATCGAATTTAAAAGGGAATTCACGTCTTGGCAACTTTTGGACTCTTATTCTACCCAACTTCAAATAACATATCAAGGGTATCATTTTGTATGGTTCTTTTATATCGTTCGAGTATAACGGTATAGGTTAGTTCTTATTCTTACCCTAGTCATAACGTCGCTGCCACCCCGCGTCACGGTATCTTAATCCAGGAAAGTTATTTTCCGGGGGGTTGTCGCCCTAACGATAATATCTTATCGACACAATGCACTGCTTTATTATAATCGATAACACGCGTCCTCGCGAAGTGAACCAAAAAGATACAGAAACACCCTTTTATCGGGCTGAAGCACTAACAATTCGTAGCTAAAGGAACGGGCAATATATCCGGATTGAACAAGAGACATCGCGGTTTCGACCAGTAACAATCAACGAGTGACGACGAACTGGCTAAAAGTGCTGACTGACGGAGAGACAGCCGCGAATTAATTCACTTACAGGATGCACGTGAAGCAGACATTTGTTCAATTTCATCCCCACCCAGAATGGTATCGATACTAATCGATTAAAACGCATGTAAGGCTTATACATACCCACTTAATATCGCTCGAGTGGAGGGCTCGAATTATCAGACTGACATTGACAGTGATACTAATTTTTTTTCTACCGACACTTTTCATCCCCCGGTAACAAAATGAATGAGATTACATCCTCGTCGTATACCAGCCTATGAAAATAGTAGAGAGAAAACACAAGCTGTCTACACAATTGAGTCCGGCGTACCACGTAAGGGGCCCATTTCCAATCGAGCGACTGTCCGTTGTCATTAATGGTTAAAACGTGCGAAAGTAAGCACTCTCGACAACCAATCGGATTATCGTGTTTGCTTAGCGAGGTAATAGGCTTACCTATGCTACGTTAGAACGTAAACGGCCACGTGGGTGTGCGTCGTGGATGATGGGAAACGTATGCCAGAGCTTCAGGCAGAAGCATCGTTATCCTATGACAACAACAATGCCTCTGAATTCTCATCTGGCATAGTTAAATAAATCGCGATTGTGTGGCAATCCTTATATTTCTCATTGATGTATGTACAACAGAACGATATAGCATTCAATGTCCTACGATAGAAGGAAGCGGCACTTCTCTTACTACAATGGCAATTAAACGATCTCTACCAGTGAGCTCTGGTTTGCGGCGGGTAATCGGAGTAATAAAAATGCGAGTCCTGGCTAATTGAACTTTAACCTACGACCTGTGACAGTCGGACCAATGTCCGCGATACTTTGTAATTTAGCGAATAATTAACACGCATGTTATATATCAATGAGGCCACTGTTTATATTGTATTTGGAGTCGCGGTACGGTACATGTCTTCATACAATGTATCCTTGAGTTGCATTCTTTGTTAAATGCTGAAGAGAAAAAATAATTCGAGTAGAATGCGAACGGGAATGAATAACTAAAATGAATCATCAGACTCGACACGATTTCGTCACACACGCGCTCTCTCTCTCTCTCTCTCTCTCTCTCTCTCACTCTCTACCTCTCTCGGCCTCTCTCTCTCTCTTACAGGTATGATTTCGTCACACACGCGCT